GGGGGGAAGACTTGAACAAGATGGGGAGGGATTTTTATCCAGAATTGGTTCCCTTACAGAATAGAGGACTTCATTTTTATTTTTATTTTTATTTTTTTTCAAATAACATCTCTTTAAGATGGTTTTTATTTGCTAGTAATTATATTTGGAAGTAAACACCTTCCCATCAGCATTTTGCACTCCTGCATTTTGTTGAGTTTTCTTCTGGTGAGGTGAGTGATGCATGAAACCGCCCCCAGGATGTTGTTTCTCTGTGGAGTGCTGCTGAAAGGATGTTTTCAGAGTTTCCCGCAAGAGCCAAACACTTCTTTTTTTTTTTCTCTCTCTCTTTTTTTTTTTCTTCCCCTCTGGAGAGAAAAACTTTCCCCAGGGATTCCGGTGCGATGGGAAGGATGTGTTGGCGGGGAGCGCCACCGCTGGGCTGGCATCTGTTCTTCATTCTTCTGCTTTTTTTTTTTCATCTAGTTACTACCTTTTTTTTTCTTTCTGGTTTGAACTGTGGCTTTGGGTTTATCATTGACATGCTCATTTGGAGCTGCAGGAGGGCGATTTCAGCAAGCAGAGGTGTGTATTGCCAAAGAGCAGCTGTGAATGAAAATAAGAGGTGTTCTCCAGGACTTTTACGGAACCCTGAGTGACAGCTCTTTAGCTTTAACACCCTTTAGTCCGACTGCCAACTCCTGGGTCTCTGGAAACCCCTCCGGGTGCCAAAGTGCTGGCAGGACTCACTGACTGAGCACAAATGGCTCTGTAGGAGCCTGAATCACCACTTTAAATTTGATTCAAAACTTTTAGATCTTTTCATCCCATTTGAATCTTATTTTACCACTGTGTTTACCAGCTTAACTGCTCTACTCGTTTTTAATCTGGGTTAATAATTAAGACAGCGATTTCTTCTTGGAGTTAAGAAGTGAATCAAGGTTGTGATCGCCCTTGAGCGGAACGTTTTTATGCACTTCGAGTAGCTGCAAGAGCCAGAGCAAAACTCTGCTGCCCAGAATGTCCCTGCCAGGAACAAATGGCCAGAGATGGGGACAAAACGCCTGGAGAGGCAGCTCCTCTGGCTGCGCAACTGTCCGGCTGCCCAGCGCTTGCTGTTATCACATGCTGGGGACAGGATCACGTGAAGAGGCGGGGAGTCAGCCCCGCAGAGCCTGGGTGACATCGTGGTGTTGCTGGTGGGATCCTGGGAGCTTCTGCCTCTGATGGCGTTTGTGACCCAGCATCAGATCCAAAAGGTAAGGGACGGCACCCCAGGAAGGAGCAGGCTGTAGTGCAGGTGGATGACACTACTTGTAAGACACAGGCACTACTAGTGAACCCGTGATCAGCTTTACAACACTTCATATTTTTCTCAGCTTCTTGTATTGCATTCATTTTGAGTGTGTGAGGATCCTATCGTGGCTACAAACTCTTCCAGAGGGCAACTTGTCCCGCAGAGCTCTTGGAGGAATTTCTGTCATGCCCTTCTGTCTCCACTGCTGAGCTCTCTTCTGTGAAGCTGAAATCTGCCTGTCAGGGGATAATCCCCAGGGTATTCTATATAAAGAAAGCAACGCCAACAGAGTTCACTTCATTTTGTAAGGGATTGTGTAGTCAACCGTGAGAAATCACCCAGGGATTTTTCCCTTAGAGAAAACAGCTTGTAAAGGAATCTCATTCTTATTGGGACTCCAGATATGACTGCTCTGATCGTGTTAGCAGGCTTTGTGATTTAATAGTTGCTGGTCACACATCTTGGATAAGATATCCTTAAGCCACAGAGGCTCTGGTGATGATATCTTTGCTGCTTTGTGGACTGAAGTGTTGCGATATGTTGTTCTTAACTGTATGGTATATGAGCCTGTTAATGATCTTTTTTACAATAGAAACACCTCTTGAAATTAGAAATTAAGAGCAGGTTGTCCAGCTGAAGTTGGGGTGCTTTTCACGCTGAGGCACAGCAAAGGGCCAGGGCTGTTTTCTCTTGCTTTGTGCTGCTTCCCCCGAGGACTCCAGAGGAGAGCAATCACCCCGTTTCTTCCAGTTCCGCGAGGATGGCTTCCTTGTCCTCGAGCATTTTTTTACCGCAGAGGAGTGTGACAGCATGAGGGACGCGATTCAGAGAATCATAGCGGAGATGGAAGTGCCACCGCACTGCCGCACCGAGTTCTCCACCAAGGAAGAGGAGCAGCTCCAGGCACAGGTACCGAGAAGGGCAGGACTGTCCCCCTCCGAGCGCTGGAAGGAGAAAGGGAAAAGGCAAATAGATGCCCAGGATTCACTCTGGGGGAACACAACCCTTCCTTCCTTCTAACTGAACATAACACTGTAAGAGACTCTTTTTCTCCAGCTTTCTACAAATGTTTGGTGCTGGTCTTATCAGAGGGTGGAGGAGGAGGAGGGTGCATGTGGCCCTGCTGTGCTTTCAGCCCCCACAATTATTGCCCCCGGTAGCCTCAAGCCGCTCTCACAGATCACTTTGTACTTGTTTTGCAGACAGAAAATAGCGCTTTTTCAGGCAGCCAGCAAAGGGCCCTGCTGTGCTTTCAGCCCCCTCAGTTATTGCCCCCGGTAGCCTCAAGCCGCTCTCACAGATCACTTTGTACTTGTTTTGCAGACAGAAAATAGCGCTTTTTCAGGCAGCCAGCAAAAGAAAAGCAAGGGTACCCTCTGTGAGAGGTTCTTGTAAAGTCCTAATCAATGCCAAGGGATTTAGTTTTGTGGAAAGCCTTTTTATGAGTGATTTCTATTGTCTGTGGTTTTTTTTATGCTGCGGCTTGATGGGAAAAAGATGCAGGTGAGTATGAACGCTTTGATCAAAGGTTCATTTGTGTTTTTGCAAGGATACTATCTTTACTGGGCTCTTATCCCTGGCAGGGTAGCTCGGATTATTTCCTAACCAGTGGAGACAAGATTAGATTCTTCTTTGAGAAAGGTGTTTTGGATAAGAGAGGTAAGCCCTGGCCTGAGCTAGCCACGGGAGGGGGGACAGGAGAAGGCTGAGTGAGGGGTCAGAGGCCAGTTTCCAGCTCTAGGGAGGATTCCTGCTTTGTAAACAGTGCTGAATTCTAGTTTTGTTTTGTAGGTAACTTTCTAATTCCAAAGGAGAAATCCATCAGCAAGATTGGCCACGGTACGTTTAGAAGATGGAGCTTTGAGAGGGATGAACGAAAGGGATGTGTTTTTCAGACATGAGGGTTTCTCCAGACCTGCTCACTATGAATAACCTCGGCCATCTGAGTTGAAACCTTTCTGAGCAGAGAAATGAATTCCCTCTTCTGTTGCTTCTCTGTGCCCCCTCGGGATAACCCCATCAAATACATCAGTCCTCACCCCCTCTTGCTGCTGTGGCCACACAGCTCCTGTCTTTGCAACCCTGGGCTATTTTACTCTGTGTTTCTGCATTTAATTCTTCAACTTGATCTCTACACATCAGGCTGCTTTTCCCCACGTCGCTTTGTCACTGTCTGCAGTTCTCTCTGTGCTGCCCCTCACTCTTTGCTGTCAAAGGACTTAAATCTTCTGTTACAACCCTTTAAAAAAAAAAATACCCTTCTAGGCAGTTTTTGAGCTGTGCATAGCTCAGAGTCACTGACATGCGAAAGTTTGGACTTCAGCCCTTGTCTCTTTTATGTAAGAAATTGCTCTAACAAATTTACCACCTAAGACTGGTCACATTCAGTACAGATCGAACTGTGTCTTGTGCAGTGGTGGGTTGCCAGGGCCGAAGCTGTCCTCCCTTCTCTGATGTCAGCAGCACCTTTTCTTTACCTTTGCTGGTTTCAGTTTGACCTATTTTCTCTCTCCCAGCTACTGAACTTACGTTTTCATCTATTGTCCTTTCAAACAGTACATGGAAAATGAGAGCGGGTTTCCCTGCATCTCCAAAGAGGTGAACTTTGTTCAGATTAAACTTCACTAAGAAATTCAGTACTGAGTGTTCTCAGTTCTTTAGTTTTCTTAGAAAAACACTCTCCCCCTGCTCCAGCCTCCCTTCCATTCTGTTATACTTCAGCTTTTCCCCAGGGGAAGTGAAAACAACTGTAGATGCCTGCTGACTCAGCAATTTAACAATCCAAAAGGCTTTTCTTGACTTATTTTTTTTGTAATTGCTTCTTGGTCAAGTCTTGCCTTATCCCTTGCTCAGGAGCAGCCCCTGCTGGACCTGGTCATTGGTCCTCCTGGCAGGTTTGCTCATGAGGAGATGAGGCCGTGATTCCAAATCTTTGCTTTATGGTTATGCCAGAGCTGGGCTCCAGCAAGTGTGTGTGTGTGCAAGCAGCTCTGATCTGCAGGCTGTGCCCCCCTGCAAAGGGCACCAAAGCTAAGCCCTAGCTCACTTCTGCAGTAATTGGTTTTTTGGTAGGTCTTAAGAACTGTTTTTAAAGGGTGAATTCACCGATCTGCCTCAGGGTCATGTATAGTGGTTGTTGACTTAGCATGTGCATGATATAATATTTAATAATGCTAAATTTTTCTTCACTGTTATACACTGTTTTTTATACAGCTGCAGCATGTGGCCAGTGAGTGATTATATTTTGAGTCTCTAAAGAAGATTGTACAAATTTACAAGTGTTTTATCACTCTTGGGAGGGATTAAAGTTTCTGGCTGCAATTTATCTTGCTCAGCTGTCGCCTCTGCAGCTCATCACCGAGAGCTGCCAAGTTCCCTCTTGTTAATGAAATCTTCAGCGTGAGCCTTTTCTTTCTCCTTAGCTTTACATGCTCATGATCCTGTCTTCAAGCAAATCACCCACTCCTCCAAGGTGCAGGTGAGCTGTTACTGATTCCTAGAATGGTCTGGGGGGAAAAAAATTAATTCTGAAGTAGTTAATCTTAGTTTTCTAGACTCCTAATGATAGTCCTTTTGTCTGTAAAAGTAAATTTAAGTACCTGCAAAGGTAAATTTAAATATCTTGAAAGAATACTGCTTTGTAGCATGCAGAAAACAGCAAACGTAAATCTTGGAAAGTTTTCTTGCAGGAATTGGGAAGAAAACTAGGCCTTGAGAGACCGGTAGTTGTGCAAAGCATGTACATCTTCAAGGTACAGTAATTCAAATAGTCTCGTCACTTGAGAAACAAGACCCTGTTAGGTGGGAACCTGTGAAACTCTTCACATATCACTTTTCTTTCCTTGCAGCAACCTGGCATTGGCGGTGAAGGTGAGATTCTTGTTATTTGTGTATTACACTGGGAATAATACTCCTTTAGGAGAGGAAAAAGGCTCAGAATTAGACTTAAGCCTGTGAGTTTTGTGATTGAAACCTTCTTAAACTCTTTAAAAAGCATCCACGTTTCCAAGAGATGTTTTTACATCATATGGAACTTGAACAAAGACCTGCTTTTACCATTGCATCAGGCTGAAAGGTGCTGTTTTAATGTAAGATTTAATGTGTATGACAGGCATTAGAAGACCCTAACGACCTTCTCTCCTTGCAGTGACCCCTCACCAGGATGCCACCTTCCTGCACACGGAGCCTCTGGGCAGAGTCCTGGGGTTCTGGATCGCCCTGGAGGACGCCACGCAGGAGAATGGCTGCTTGTGGTTCATTCCTGGCTCTCACACCAGTAAGAGTCGTGGTAGTTTGGTGTGTGCTGTGAAACACCCTCCCTCGTCTTGATTAAGGGTGGAGGGTAACATGGACTGTGTTATGTTCTCTGCATCATGCAGTGCCTGCAGAAACACACTGCTAGTCTTGTTTATTGGAAGGATGACTTTATTTACTACAAGGATCTTCTCCTGTGCTGTTGTCAAATCTACAACCACATTTTTCAGCAGGTTATTAACTGCCTCACTTTGCTCTTGGCCACCAGTCCATCACGCGAGTCTAACATAACAATATTTTTTAATAAAAAAATAGGTAGTATACATGACTGGCAGTGATTAGTGTGCCCTAGAGGCAGTGAAAACCAGAAAACTGTGCTGTTAATCCAATTGTGGTTACACACACAGCAACCACCTGCGGTCTCAACAGCCGTTACATGAGTCTGTGCTGATTTGGTTTTCTCTGTTGAGTTTAAGTTGATATCTAGCCTAGAAGCAAACAACCACAGAATCACAGAGGGTACAGGGGCAAGGAAGGACAGCCCTGAATTTTTATTTACTCCAGAACCTGTTAAAACTGCTCCTGAATCTTTTCTTTTTACTTCAGTATTATTTCAGAAGCTTCCCCTGCATGATTCAGAGTCTTCCTTGCCGGGCTGCTGAGATTTAAGACTTTAATCTAAAGAAGATCTTAAAGCACTGGGCCCTTTCTTCGTGCAGTGAAGCAGGTCATTGCTCCATGTTGATGCTCCTTCCACAGTTTTGACTGTAGCCTTGAAAACGTCCATCAAGTCTGATCTGGACTGCAAAGAGTAATAATCCTTTTGCTTTCCAGAGTAGGAATACACTGAGAAATCACTCTTTTTTTTTTTCTTTTTTTTTTTCTTCCATCCACTCACAAAACTGTTTCATTTCCAGGTTCCTTCACAAAGAT